TCTGACCTGCACAGAAAAGTATCTATGACAGCACCTAGGTGACAAAAGCTGGCACAGCACCGTGCCATCCCATAAAGGTAGACTAGGCTCCATGGCCAACGTAGCTCTCACAGGGGCATCTGACCTCCTGCTTTCATGACTTAATCACTGCCCAATGTCCCCACCTTCTAATATCATCACATTGGTGATGAGGTTTCACTGTGGGAATGTGGGGAGAGACAAAAACATTTAGAGTATAGCAATGATACATATAGTCTGCTCTTTTTAATTCAAGAAATTAATTTTTAATCACTAGATCTCATCTATTGATACAATTACCATAAAAATACATATGTATTTTTCCAACTAACATTAGGCCAGAAGCCACAAATTCAAGGAGGCAGGGCTTAGCACATGGCAAACAGAATACATCAAGCTGCTACAGTTAACACACAGACAAAAATGGGAGAAGACTAAAAACTATTTAGAAGCATAAAGAAGGGCTCAGAGGGTATGTATGTCAAGCTAAAGCAGCTGCATGTGTGAGAAAGAACTGTCTTCGCAGGGCCCAGAATGCCCCAAACATGAAATGCAAGAAAGATTACTTAGCAAAAAAGTAGTAAGAATTACTGCTAAGCTCCAATAAATATTGATAAAGCATCTAGAACTTACATTGCCAATGATAACAAGGAAACTGGCAGATGGTGGTTGGAGAGGAAAAGAGTGCACTACAGAGCATGTGGAGATCCTCACCTATTGAGGGGAAGCCATCAATGCAAGGCACTGTTAGAAAGATATGAGTTTATTTATATTATAAACTTATGAGGGAAAATACTGGAAAATAAAAATAACAAATTCATTGGGAGGATGAGCAAATGCTCAGGATAAAGAAACTTCAACAAACTTAGCTGTTTCCTGGAGGGAAATGCACAGTGAGTAATTATGATGTTTCTGGGATTGTAAAGATGATTATGACTAGCAAATCTAAGATAATAATACATTAGTACATCAAAGGAAAGAAAAATGGGCATCTCCACAGATGCTAAAAATTACTTCATAAAATTTAGCACTCAACTTTGATCAAACACGTAACTTTCACCAACTAGATACTTTGAAAACTTAGGTTAGTAATATCTCAAATCTCTTCAACCAGTAACCTACCCCAGGCATCCCTATTCAACTCAGTTCTAAGGTGGTCCACTAATATTTAATATTTTCTAATATAATATTTTCTAGAAGCTAAGAACTATTATGGGGAGTAGAGGAAGGAGGAATGACAGAAAGAAATAATGAAATGAAGAAGTAAATTATCATCGTTTTTAGATTATATGATTGTCAGTATGGAAAATCCAAAAGAAGCAACTGAAAAACTGTTGGCAACAAGTAAAGAGTACAATAGAGTGGCTAGTACAGAAGAAATTATGTTTTTATTTATTTTTATTTTTTTATTGAGTTTATTGGTACATTTTAGGTATACAGTACAGTTACATTCATCATTGGGATCTTGTACCTTTATATGACAGGTCTTGATTCTCATTTTTTCCCCTATCCCTGCCCTCTCTTCATCCCCTCCTCCCCTCCCCATTTACAAACACTTTATTTCCATTTTTTCATCTGAAATTATGTTTTTAAAAAGAAATGTGTCAAAAGAAGCAGATTGTTAAATAAATTATAGTATCTCCATATAATTAAATATTACTATGAGGACTTTAAGGCCTTTAGAGATAATGAAAGGCTATGGATGTAGGTCTTGTATAGGATGCTTAAGTCCTGGGTTCAATCCCCAGTGTGAAAGAAAGACAGAGAAAGAGAAAAAGGGAGGGGGAGAAAGAGAGACAGAGAGAGAGAGGAAAAGAAAATGTGATTCCTTGAAAAAATGCTCACTATGTGTAAGTAGCTAAAATAAATTTATTTTTTAAAGTACCAAAGTATACACACATACATGTGGGAAAATCAGTAAGATACAGACCAAGCTATACTATATCTGCATGGTAAGATTATAAAGGGATTTTACCTGTACTTCCTCTTAGTTTCACCAGCATTTTTCAAATTTTCAACATTCAAAATTAAGTAGCACAAGGGCCAAGGATTTAGCTCAGTGGTACCACACCTGCCTTGCAAGTGCATGATACTGTTTGATTCCCTGGTACAAAAAAAATAAAAAATAAAGTAGAACATATTATTTGTTCAGATAATTCACAAAAATATCAATAGCCTATAATATGAATAATGTCAAAACCCACAAAATATGTGTATTAAAACAAAATTGCATATAACATCTAGGTGAGACTCCTGATCTTAGATTAGAAGTCAGTTCAGACAATCTCCATGAAAGATAGCTGAGGAAGGGCTGGTAAGGAATGAAACAAGCATTAGATCCTACTAAGAAATAAATGTTACTTTTGATGATGTTATTTGGCTTTATAGGGAAATGCACTTTTTTTAGCAATCCAAAATGAGTAGTTAGGAATAAAATGAGCAGAATAAAATGTCAAAAGATCTATAATTTACTTTACATTTTTAAGCATAAAAAGTAAAGTAAGCAAAATGAGAAATTTTGTTCTTTAAGAGATTTTTTTTAATGCATAACTTTCTTTCACTTACCAAATTGGAAAAATTCAAAAATATAATATCCACTGTTAGTAAATGGGAACTTAAAAAGAACTCTCACTGACTAGGCAGGAATGAAAAATTAGTAAAACATTTCTAAATCAGGCTCAGGGACCCACATCTGTAATCCCAGCACTTTGGGAGGCTAGGCACGAGGATCAAACATTCAAGCACCTTCCTCCAAGCAGTTTAGCGAGGCTGTTTCAAAAAATAAAATAAAATAAAAAGGTCTGGGAATGCAACTCAGTTGTAGAGTATCCCTGAAATTGACCCTGAGTGCCACAATAAAAAAAAATCTAAAGGATAATTTCATAATTTATATAACTTTCTTTAAAATATACCTCTCCTTATTTAGTGATACTACTCCTAGGAATTTGCTAAAAGAATAATCAGAGATACACACAAAAATATGACTATGAGGATTCTCAGGACATGATAAAAATTGAATCAATCAGAATGTTTAGTGTAGAAAATGTTATGTCAATTAGGGTACGTTCATAACACAGAGTAACATGGAGTCTCAAATCCTGCACTTTGAAGAAAACTACATTATGAGCTTATGTGAATAAAAGAGCATAAAATTACACATTTAGTGGGGTTTCAATTTTGTAAAATGTGATTAAGATCGCCCCATAGGCTGGTGTCTATGTCCAGGGGATGGAAATTCAGCCACCAGGTGGAAAGTTGATAACATCCCACAACACAAATGCAAACATTCCTCTCAGGGTGTTCATGCCTTCAAACAGTTCCTAGGGGTACATTTAATGAACTGGCCAGAACACTACTATAGAAAAAGAAAGGAGTAGAAGAGAAAACAAAAGTGGAAAATTCAACAGTTCACCATTTTTAAAGGCCATAAAAAGAGATAATATAAAATTTGTTAAATGTATCAAGTGAAAAGTGAAAGAAAAAAAGGACAGTTGATATAAACTTATTTCAGAAAAAGCATTAGTAAAGGGAACCTATAAAAATTAAAACTATAAGAAAGGCAAAACCAGGAAATAAAGTTAAGTGAGGCAAATGTAGGAAATGCTTCTTAACCAACATAGCAAATAAACAAGAGAAAGAGTGTTTCGTTCGTCAAACTTAAGGTCAGACAGCTGGAAGAAGGAAGTGCCAGAAATGTGCTGAATTCACTTATGAAGAGCTTGGTCCCTATAACTTCTCTCCTTCATAAATGTCTCTTCAGAGGCTACTTTGGGTGAAGTTCACACTACATGCTAGCTACTGGAGGTACGAATATGAACAGAGTGACAAACTAATTCACAAGCTTTTTGAAAGGAGAAGCATGATTAGTAACACATACAGACCACTAAATAATAATAGCACAATATTGCAGGGGTGACCAAACACACATCTACTGTAAAACCACATAATATGTGATAGGTGCTGCATCAGTGATAAAACTACCATAACTGTGACATTTTAAACAAAAAACTAGAGCAAGATGAAAAGAAAATATGATTAAAGCACAAGAAATAAATGAGGTCATTTTCTCCTTTAATCAAGACTGAAAATACTAGTTGTTTTATATCTTTCATAAAGATACACTAATTATTCTTGTGGAATTCAAAGGACATTTACATTTTTTTAACAACAAAATCATTTTTCAAAAAGTTAAACAATCATTACTTATTTCCTCATAATCTTTAGTATTCTCTTGCTTATTTGAAGCACTCACACCACCATACAGCGACAAAAACTCTTACTTACCAAACTCTATTTCTCAGGAGAAGAGAAAATAACTTCTAAATGTACTGAAAATTAAGTCCTTCAAAAAAACAAGTCCTGAAATTTATGTAAAGCAATGCCTTAGAAATGGTTTGGTGCCCTCTTTTGGTCCTTACTGGAATTACTTCTCCCTATAAATTTCACCAAGATCATGGGCAGGTTTAAATTCACATGAGCAAACAATTTATGAAAATTTCAGTGTGAAGAAAAGTATCTCCCTATAATAAATTTTAGCTTTTAATTTTGCAAGGTGTATACTGGGTTGCCACTAGAATGGAATGTTATGGCACCTGGCCTGTCCTCTAGTGTTACAACTACCAGTATAAGCAAGTTTTGAGCAGCCTTTTAATTGGATATTTAAAACAATATAATCTGAATCCCACAATTTGTTTTCTTAAAAAATCAACTTTCAAGGAAAGTTTATCAGTTGATACATATTCAGACACATCTAAGAGAAATTATATCCTGATTTTCCACATTCTGACCCCCTTTTGCAATTATTAGATGTTTTAATTTTTAATTCCGGGATAGCAAATATGAGGCGATCCTTCTGGACTAACTTTAAGAAAAATTAAGCCATTTAGAATAATTTTAGAATAAAAACAATAAGGATTGAAACAAAAAGAGGGTGAATGGTTGACCAGGTGCTTCAGGCAGCCAGGATCCCTTGCTCCCCTTCTTGCTTGTGTGGGTTTTGTAAAGAACTGAACAGAGGAACTACACAACTATCCTACAATTAATCTACTGGTTGCTATTATCTTTCCCCAAAAAAGTTAAGTCCAGGCTGTTTGGCCAATGACAAAGTTAGACATGTGGATCAAAATCACTTCTGCTTTCAGGAGGAAGGGAAAGGGCAAGGGCTCCCTGTTCATCGTTACTCATCAAACATGACAGGAAGTCTCAGGCCCGCGGGGCTCAGGAAAGGGTGATGGTTGCACAAGAAGACAATGAGAAAGCAGCTGGTTTGTGGGGCTCTAGGAAATCAAGATTTGACAAATGGCCAAGGAGAGAGGGGCTGGTTGTGGCTTTGAGGGACTCCCAGGCAACGCTGGACTGAAGTCTTTAGAAAATGCACACAGAAACACGTATCACCACAGATCTGGTCGCACCACAAGTCGCAGGAGGGTATTGCATAAAACTTCTGCCTTCAGGAACAGAGACATGATTCTTGTAAGGCTGTCGTAACTCAGAAATGTCTTTAAGGGGAAGACAAAACCCACAAAGATCAGGTGATATGGAAGACTACACAGTAGTGGGACAAACAAACAGCATGAGCTCAAGTCCTCACTTGGTCATGTGTTGTGTGGCTCTGGGCAAGCTGCTTAGCCTCACCGAGACTCCACTTATTCATCCAAAGAATGGGGCCAGTCGTTGTGAATTTTAGGGAATATAATGAATATTATGTGGCCAAATGGGTGACTGATACAGAAGAGAAGTCATGATAGTAAGGAGGCTGGAATTGTAATGTAAGTCATATATTCTTTTCCTGTCTTTGTTAAGTTTATTGGTACATTCATGCTAAAATCAGGAACAAGACAAGGATGTCCTCTATCACCACTTCTGTTCAATGTAATTTTGGAACTCATATGCTCTTATATGCAGACACAGGAAGATGGCGGGGTTTACTATTAAGAGAAGAAAAGCAAGACACAGAACAATGTGGAAAATACAACATCATTTGCATGGATCTGCTTGTTGACACATTTATAAAGCTGTCTTCTTGCCAGGCATTGTTCTGAGAACTTCACAGGTAGTAATCTTCACAAAGGTGCCCCGTGCTAAGTACTTTCATTTTCCCTACCTAATGCTGCAGCAAGAGCAGCCAGGTAATGGTGCAATTGCCCTGCTGCCCAGCAGTGGGATGGGGTTTGACATGGGCAGTCTGGCCTCAGGTCTTCACGCTCAGAATTTCACCACACTGCTCTCTAAGACAATACCAAGGGGAGAGAACAGAGAAGCAGCCATTTGAAACAGAAACAGAGACTGTGTTTTGCAGCCATAAGCCAACAAATGCCCAGAGCCACCTGAAGCAGGAGAGACCAACTCCCTCTGACACATCGACTCTGGACTTCTGGCCTCCAAACTGTAAGAATTGAGATTTTCTATTTATCATTTTATGCCCTATGTCCTGCTAGACATTGTTCTACTATGGACATGTAATGTTTTAAATTTTTAAAGTAATATCATGGTGAGATAAGTATAATAACACAGTCAAAAGCCAGCTAACATACTGATTTAAGGCTGGCAGAGGTTAATATTATTTTGATGATTTTTTACTTTTCTAAAGATTTAACGTTCCCCAGAAAATTGATAAATATTAATGGATACCTCAGTTTTGAAGTGTTATGTTTCGGTCATCAAGATCACAAGATAGACAAACCACAACAATAAGATTGACAGCTGATATATTAAATGTTGATATTACAACTAAAATTTACTGCTGAATAAAAAGTAAAGACAAGCCACAGAGTAGAAGGTACTCGCAGCATGTGAAACCACAAAAGGCATACATAATATCTAAAATATATGGCATGTTCCAACAAATCCATATGAAGATGACTAAGAAACGCAAGGGAGGGAAACTAGCCAAGGATCTAAAAAGATGAGTAACAGGGAAGGAAATAAAAATAGCTCAAACCTATGAAAAAGTATATGTTCTCACTAAAATATGGGAAAACACAAATTAGGACAACCAGGAGATGCCACTGTACATCCCTGAGGTGGACAACTGAAACGCCTAGTGATGTCAAATGTTGGTTAGGAGCTCTCATTCATGTCCGGAGATTCTGACATAAACGGTCTGAGAGGACCCAGGCATCGTCCCATTTTAAAAGTTCGTGGTGACTGTATGGCAACCCCTGGAAGCTATCTTGAGCATGGCGCCCTCTAGTGGTGCCTATTTTCTTGACTGCAGCCCTCAGCCCTTTGGGACCTGCAGGTGGTGTAGGTGTCCTTGAAGCTCACTGCTGCTTCCAGATCGCTGACCAACCCTCCCACGCTTGAAACGCACCCCTTCTGCTTGCAGTCATCTTCTGAGCTCCATCACTTCACTGAGTAGCACTGTTCACAAAGTTCAAAACCACTTCTCTCATAATTCTAGTGATTTCAGGGGCTATCTAAAGACTTCCCTTCCCTTAGCTTCTCAGTTCTTGGATATGTTCACTCTTAAAGGTCTCATCCTGACTGTACCTCAGCCCTGCGGTCCCTGATTATATCCTAGATACTATCTTTACCAATGGCGGCACAAAGTCGATAATCTTATTTTGCATGCACTGTCTTGCATCCAGTTCTATCTTCAAGTCTTTTCCTCTGATGCCAACTCCCTATCCTCACTGCGCTCATCTGAACATCACAATCCACCCCACTAATCATTCCTCTGCACTGACTCTCAGCCACCGTGCTTCTCCAACTGCCTCAGCCCAAGTAAAGTCTAACTCTCCACTAGACTACAGTGAGCCAAGGTGGCAGAAGAGAGTTGGAGAAAATATCCACATTTATGCTGCTGATCTCACTTGAGAGGCATGACTGGGTCCAAGTCTCAGCAGGGAGCAGCAATCCTGCCAGCCTTCCCTCTCCTCCTGACTGAATCCATACCCTCCCACAACATCCAGCATCTCCTTCCGTCCTTCATTCTTGCTGATGATGCTTCACTTTTCAAAAGAGGTCACCAGTTCTGCATCCTCCTCCAAAACTCTCTCAGCCTTCCTGTACCCAGGCTGCCTGCATTTTCCTGTCCTTCTGAGTGAATTCTTGATGTCAAGAGCCAGTCCCTGCCTGCCCAACTCTGGACTACCTTCCAGTTTGTCTGCTCAAGGAAATCACTCTTTCAGTTATCCTCTCTCTAGTGCACCAACATTTTTCTTCTTAAATGCGGTATTTCTTTCTTGCTTGCTTTCTTTCCTCTATTTAATTCATTCACTTTTTATTATTCTTTTGGCAAACATCAGAGAATATGAGCAAAACTACATTGCTCATTGTAAGTACATTCTTTTTTGCTTTACACAAGTTGTAAACATATTTAAGTGGATAAAATTCTTAGCTAAAGACATTTCCAGAACTCTGACATATAGTTTTACAGATTAGGACAAAAGAAAACTTATATAATATCCATTAGACCACTATACAGCAAACTAATTAGTATATGTATTTTAAAATTAACATCTGCAAAATTTTTAAAACTTTCAATTATAGATAAAATGATATTTACCTAAAGTTTTATGAAAGAATAGGTGATCATACAAATCTTGTTCATAACTGTACTGACCATGACCGTTTAAAAACCATTTTAATAAACACAAAAAGCAAGAAAACTCTAATTTATCCTTATTAAAAATTACTTAGAATACTTTTGATAAAGATAGAATCTATAACTAGATTTTATGATATTTTATTCCTAATACTGACATTTTAATTTTAGAGTAAGAGAGTACCTCAAAATAAACACAAAACATTTTATATTTTACCATTGCATTCCTTTAATTTCAGGCCCCTAAAAAATTCAGCTCAAAGGTTACAAAACAGGCAGCTTTGAAATATCTTGTTGGCAGGTAGTTTTATCCTGTTGGTGTGGTGCCCTTGGGAAGTACTGACTTGCTCTAATTCAGCACAGTCCCTACCAGCTTCACACTGTTACCTGTCGGCCATGTGAGACTGGCTCCGCTTTTAACATTATTTTCCCAAGATTTACTCATAAAATTATACATAAAGCACAAGTTCAAGGAACTTGGGAAAAAAATCAAAAGTTCTCATTTTCTTAATTTTTTAACATAACAAATTATCAAATACATTTGCATAGATGAGGACTCTCCTCTCAGAATACTGTTATCTGTGATCTGAAGTCTGAATCAGAAAAATCATTCACACAGAAAAATCACTGAATCCTGATTTTACTACAAGCTCTTGGCTCTCCAGTTGTATGCATACAAAACAAAATTTTCAAATATTTGAAATGAAGAAAAAATGACGATAAGATTAACAAAAGTCATGAGAGCTTTCTTGCAATACTTGAAAATGAGTAAAAAGGCAGCAAGCTTGTAAAACAAAGTGGAAAGATAAAGAATTTGAAGTAAATGCAGCTGTGGCCCTTTTTTTAAACTACAGAATCCACCATTTATACAATATAAAGAGTGAGAGAGGCTTCTGGAAAAAGCTGCAAGGGAAAGCAAAGCTGCTGAGTAGTGGGGAAAACACCATTAGAAAATATAAAAACCTACAGTTATAAAGAGAGTTAGTAAGTGATAGCACTAACTCCTGCCTGAAATTTAAGAAATAGTGAAGAGCAACAAACAAATTAGTAATATGTTAGCTCTTTTCAAAGTTATACGCACATAAAAGGCATGTCTTTTAATTCTTTACAGTGTAAAGCCAACAACCATGAACATCTATTTTTCTCTGACTTTGTCTTATTTCTCTAAACTGCTGATGCTCATCTGAATATTTTAATTTTTTTAATTATTAAAGCATGCTCCTTAGCTGTAAATGCAGTATTGATAATCAACATACAATACAGCAATTTTATCATCTTTTTTAATCCTCCCTTTAAACCTACCAGTGCCTCCTTGCTCCCCTTTGCACCCCGACCTCCTTGAAAGAAATGTTTTAATATCTCTAGTTATTCTCTTCCCATTCTTTGAAATCCACTCTAATCAGGTTTCCTTCCCAGCACTCAAGAGACATAGCTCTTTTCAAGGTCACCAGTGATCATCACATTGCTGAACCCAGTGGTCAGTTCCCAATTCTCATCTTATTTGAATTATCAGCAGCAGTTTACACAGTTGAAAGATCTTAAATATTTTTGTTACTTGGTTTCTTGGACTCAATACTCCTTCCCTCCCTCAAATAGCCTGCTATCTCATTTGTCTTCTTCCCTAGTCTTCTTCGGGATCCTCCTTATCTCTCCGACACAAAACACCCAAAACTCTTTCTTAGACTTCTTCTTTAACTCCATGTACTCTCATCCCAGTCCTTGATATCAAACCTTCTACTTGCTGATGACTCCCCAGTTACTGCCTCTAGCCAGGACTTCTTCTCTGAACTCTAGACTCTCGTACCCAACTGCCTATAAACACTTGCTAAGCCATTCTTGTTGAAAGCCAAATAGTTGAATCCTCACTATCTCAAAACTGCCCTTCTTGCATTCTTCCTCATCGCAATAAATGACACTTCTGTTCCAGTAGTCCAGGCTAAGTAATAAGTGACTCCTTTTTCTTTTGCTCAAAGTCTACATGCAATCCATGAACAAATTCTGTTGTTTTTATTTATCCATAAGCAAAACAGCTTTTATGCCCTCCACCACTCCCATGGTGGTTCAAAGTCAGTATCACCTCACATGGATAACTGCGATGCCCTCCTAAACTGGGATCCTTGCCTCCCTAGTCCTCCATCCATTTCATCCACTTCATCCCAACGTAACTAGACTCCAACACCAGAATCGAAGCATATTCCTACTCAACAGCTGTAAAGATTTCCTTCTCACTCCAAGGATAAACCCAGACCCCTATTATGCTTCCCTTGATCAGCTCCATCTCAGATTTCATAACTTCTCTGGCCTCATCTCCTTCTATTCTGCCCATCCTCCTGCTGCTCCAGCCACACTGGCCCCCTGGACTTTCACAGGTGCACCAACCATTCTCCCACCCTGTTCCTGCCATCCCTCTGCATGAGACTGTCTTCACACATCCACCTTTGCTCTTCCCTCCCAGGTCACACTGAAATGCCACTTTACCAGTGTCTTAGTTACTTCTTCACTGCTGGTACAAAATGCTAGACATCCACAAGTTAAAGGAGGAAAAGTTTATTTTAGCTCACAATTTGTAGAAATTTTAGTCCATAATCAGCGGGTTCCAAGGCAGGGCAGCATGGCAGAGGCGTATGGCAGAGAAGAAACAGTCAATGGCAGGGCAGGCAGAAGATAATGAGCCTGACTTCCATCTTTCCTTTTATATTCCACCCAGGCTACAAGCCTATTGGTTGGTGCCACCCACACCTGGGTGGGCTTCCCTCTTCAGTAAATCCATTTAGCCATACTATGCTAACCCAACTAGGGAATAAACCAGGTATCACATATCCTTAATCCATATCATACACTCTACATCCAACCACATCTGAAAAGCCTCACCTATGAGCACATGACGCTCTGGGGGACATCTAGATAGGAACCGTAACAATCATCAAAGCCTTCCCTGACCATAGTTTCTCTCATCCATCATTCTCCAGATTCTATAGATTACATACCCCTCTTTATGCACCAATTGCTATATTATCAAGTCAGTGTCTACCCATCTTTCTAAAGAATTCTGTTCTTGGGGGTCAGAACTTTGCACCCCTTTGTATTGCCAGCACCTAGGGCAGTACTTGGTACATAAATACATGCTTTTAAAAGTTGTGTTGAATACAGTGTTGAAACACACCAAAAAGCAACTGGGCAATGTCTAGTAAAGGTGGCCCAGTTAATCCACTTCTAACTTAGGAGGCAAGGAAGTATATGTAAATGTGGCCCTACAACATTATCTGAAATGGAAAAAACTACAAAACTATGAAATGTTCTCAGTTAGGAAATGGACAAATTGTGGCATAGATTAGGATCCTATAGGGCCAAGGATTTAGCTCAGTGGTGCCACTGCCTGCCTCACAAGCGCAAGGACCTGAGTTCAATTCTTGGTATCCAAAAAAAAAAAAAAAATCCTATAAAAACACTGAAATGAATGTCCTAGAGCTACATGTAGGAGCACAAATGATTATCAAAAATAATTATGTACAAATGTATAGAATGTTATAAAATTTAAAATCATTGAAAAAATAACTCCTTTTAGATGAGGACATATGTAGTAAACACACAAAAATATGGATGGGAGGAATATACAACCATCCCAGGACAACAACAAATCATTTCAGAGAAGGCAGAGAATGGAAGGAGCAAGGTTTCAAACATCAGCAAGTTTTTTTCTTTAAAAAAAAAGGTTCTAAAATAAGAGCGACATGGGTCAGGGATTTAGCTCAGTGGTTCTGCCTCCTGCCTCGCAAGCACAAAGACCCAAGTTTGATCCCCGGCACCAAAAATAATAATAATAATAATAATTAATTAAGGGCGACAAAACTTAAAATTTACTAAATCTAAACATCATCATCATATTCTTTACTTTTCTATACCAACAAGTATTTGCCATAGTATCTTTTTTTTTTTTTTTGCTTTTCAATATGTTTTAAATACTCCAAAATCTTCCAAATTAATTTTTTTTAATTTAAATTACAAAACATTTAAAATGTCTGAAATAAAACTTGGTAGCCTTGGAAGCAGCCACATCTGAGTTAAAGGAAATAAAACCCACTTTGTTGCTAGGATTTCTGAGCTGATGCTCCACTGGAGAGGTTGGGTGTTGGGTCAAAGAAGCAGGGAATTACCTGGCTGGCTGCTGCCCCCTCAGCAGGGGTGGGAGGGCAGAGAAGTGCCATCTCTAGGCAGGGGCTGAAGTCACAGGCATAGATGCTCACATCCATAGTGCACCACAATATGCACCCATTACATCCGGAACACAATTTCATAACATTCACAGTTTCAGAATTAGAAGGAAAGGTACAAGGTAATCCTCTCTATTTCACCTTAGAGGAGGAAAAACCAAGGCAAGTGCTGGCTCAATTCAAAAAGGTTGATGCCAATTTAAAGCAATTTCTACCCACTGTCACAATAGATAACTTTCCATATTTTCCATGAAACAATACGTGTTCATTAGCTTAAAGGTCTTTTTTAATTCATATGGAAAATATAAGGAAGGAACTTGAAATGACCTGATTCTCACTAATAGACAAATAATTGCATGAACTGGGATGCTAACATATTTCAAAATACAATGCAGGTTTTAGAAGAACGCTTTTGATTCAACTTTCTTAACTGAGAAAGCTGACTATAATTTTTATAAGAAGCAACCGTGTATGTACTTATGTGTATACAAGTTTAGAAACACTACATTAGAATCTACATACTGTTTCAAATGGTAACTGTATCAGTCAGCGCTCACTAGAGTAACAGATTCAACGTGAGATATAGAAGGATTTACAAGATTGACTTACAATGGCAGCCCACGGAGTCAGGTGTGGAAAAGTACAAAAGAGCTGTCTGTGCACTGGAGATTCCGAATGCCCAGCCAAAGGCCTGGAGCTCACTGCAGTGCCCTGGGTGAGTCTCTATCAGAAGGCCGAAGGGTCTGCGATGGAAGCCAGGAGATGACGTCCAAGGTACAGGTGACAACTTCAGCTCCTCTGATCAAAAAGGAACGAGATTTCCCTCTTCTGTTTATACCACTCAGGCCTCCTTAAGGTGACTCTTTTGTCTTTAGTAAATCCCCTCATCCACACCCAGAACTATGCTCACTCGATTTAATTGGTCGTTTCTTACTCAAGTTGCCAGTTAACTATCACAGAATCTATCGATAGAGAAGGGGTGTAAATGAGGCTATGACCATTTTTCTTCTTTACTTTTGAATTTATTCCTTTTTTAAAAAAGAATGTAGAACTGGGAAGAGAAAATGAACCTTACGCACGTCACTCAGAATCACTTTCTAAAATGGATTACATTTTACTTGAGTTTTGTATAAAACATACACACATATATATATTTCCAAAACTAGATCCTGCTGTACGCACACTTTGTAAAAACGTTAACTTTTTTTTTTTTTTTTTTTTTTTTTTCCAGGATGGAACTCGGGACCTTGCACATTCGAGGCAGGGGATAGAACTAGTAAACTAAATCCCCAGCCCCGCTTAATGATAACTTTTAATGGTTACAACATATCCGACTATTGGACGTTGCTATGCCTAATTTCACCAATCCCTGACTGTGAGACATTCACGGTTCTTCCAGCAGCGCTCCCTGACACAAACAGCTACAATAAACGAGCCTGCGCACACACTTTCGAACATGTGCTTTCTTAATTAAGGCAAGTGCGGGTTTTGTAGGCCGCTCGCAGACAGACGTGCACTCCTTAGGCCAAAGCTAGTACTTTTGGAATTTGAACCACATTTCCAAACTGTCTTGCTAGAAAGTGATTTTCTGTTACTGTTGCTTGTTGTTTTAAATCATATTACACCCCCATCGACTGGGTAAGCGTAGGGAGTTCTGCTTAATTCAGAATTGGGAAATGACAAACTCTCGACAAGCGACCCTTACCGGATAAAACCGAAGGGCTTTCCCGACGCTTTGGAAAGGAAGGCGCGGAACCAGACAACTCCTACACCAGCCCAATTCGGGCTGGGACCAGAAGTTTCCCCGGAGGGCCCGACAGCGCAGCGGGTGCTCCAGGTCAGGCCCGGCAGTCGGTCTGCGGCAGGGGGCGAGTCCTCGCCT